ATTTTGTATCTAAAATAAAAATAATTAAACCTACATACAAATATTTATATTAAATATATGTAGTGAATTTAATACAATTGTAAATAACATAACATAAGATATTTTATATTACACAACAAGGCTCACAGAATTGTCATAGACTTAAGCTGTTTTCCATAAAAACCCATGTAAAAGCATTTGTCCATAGCAAAAGTGTCCCCATGTTATTCTATAAGTCTCCCCATGTCAAAGTATAGCTATATCATTTACATGGGATCCCATGTTATTTACAATAGGGCGGAGGAACGGAGGGGAGGGGTAATGTCGTGATCCTATACACCATAATATTATTCTTTATATATGAATTGTGGTTTATATATAAAATAAATCTCATTATAATAAATAAACAAAGGATTTGCAAAGTTATTGATTATCAATAAAATGCATGAATTAATTGTTTGCATTATACTATTGGCAAACAATTATAGCGCAGAGACATTAGGCCAATGGGTTTGCCGTTTGATTTCTGTCTGATATTAATCTAACTAATGATACAATTTGTTATGTGTACTTAAAAAACTAATGATTACCATAATGTTTTTTTAATAAATCACCAGCCAGATCAATACATCAATAAATTCTCTCTCTCTCTCTCTCTCTCTCTCTCTCTCTCTCTTGGGATAAATTGATACATATATTTATCATAAAAGAAATTAATTATCAAGAAGATTTTTACTTTTAGAAAAATCCATTTAAACATCAATTTAATAGAATTTATTATTTTGTTTTAGTTTTAAAATAGATTAATATTTATATAAATATATTATACAAAGAGTTTAGCATTAAATGAATAGAAAATATATTTTTATTATTGCTATTTTAAAAACTCATTCAAATGATAATAATATATATAAATCACAGACTACTATTATTATATATTATATTTTTACATAAAATATAAGTACATTGATCTAAGTTTTGCAAGTAGTTTATGTAACTAACACAGATAATATAAATATTCTGAACTGTAATAATATTTTTAAAATTAAATAGTTTAAGTTACTACTAAGTTAATTATCTAACCTTATTATGTAAACAAATAATATTTGCTTTATGGTTATATTGTATAACTTATATATAATTTATTATTGCCAATAAATAATTAAGTTGTGATGAGGTACCAACATTTACCTTTATAGATTAAAATATAATTTTATTTTTTATTTCTCCCTTCATATCTTCTTACTTATTTTAATGGACTTATGGTTGGCTTAGAGAGAAAGAGAGAGAGAGAGAGAGAATTCTTGTGATATATTATCAAATTATCTCTCAAATGTCTGGGCTTTAAGTATCCATAACTTATAGTCAATTGCAATGTATATAGGGTTGTCATCCCTTTCCCACTTATAATGAATATTTATTATATAAAAATCATTTTTAACTACAATTCAGCAATTATAATTGTAGATTTTAGGTTAGATTTGCCCCTTATTTCCATATCCTATGGGATTCACATTTGGTTTCCAAGACGTATTGTTAGTTTATTTATTGTTATAATTGAATACCTTGTTTAATCATTAAATAATCAGTGACATTTATGGGTTATAAATCAAACATTATGTCTTCAAAATAGAAAACAATGGATATCTAAGTATGTGTCAAAATTATCTGATTATAAGTATTACTTTCTATCAATATTTTATTAAGTGGAAATTATATGAGTATAACAATGATGTGCAATTTACTCTACAAATTGTAATTTTAGTATAAATTATTCAATGGTTTATTAAAATAAAATTAATTTAATTTAAGAAATGAATATATTTAGACAAATAATAAATAGACCATGTGATTCAATAATTATTATAATTGGATCATTTGGATTTATAACAAGTTTTGTTTATTTTGTGTTTTCAATCATATTTGTTAATTATCATTGTCTCCCATTTGCTTTATTATCGGGTAAATAATATAAATTAAATTTTGTATAATAATATTTATATTTATTAAATTATATAACTTATTAAGTATCATATAAAATATATTTTTATAAATATTACTATTGATAATAATTAAATATAATTAATTAAATCATGTTTAGTTTTGTTGTCTTCATTGGTTACATATGTATACATACTATCATTTGGCGAGAAAATTGACGAAAAAGTTAATAAAACTCATTTAACTCTTATGGCAATTGTATCGACATTTCTGTTGCTTTTAATAGTATTCTTTGTAATCGCATATTCATCGTTAGCCATAAGATATATGAAAGGTATGAACAATCATCATAAGTATATTGCATTAAAATTAACCATGTCACTATATTTTAGTGTATAGTTTTAACAAAGTAAACGTAACAACAGTGAATCAATCGTCGCCACCAACACTACGGGACAATTATTGGCCGGTTATCACGTGTTTGGCTTTAATATTGTTATGGCTAATACTTATTATTGATATATCGAGAAAACAATGCTTTAAATTACCCAAAAATAATAGAGATATAAAAACCATTTCTACCGAAAGAAATCAATCAATTGTTAGTTATTATAATTATTGATGTTTATTAGTTGAGCAAACTTAAACTTATGCTAAATTACAAAGTGTGTAATGTAATAAATAACCAATTAAAAAAATAAACAATAAATAATCAATGCTGCAAACAAACTGTTTATATATTACAAATATATAAATATCAATAATGTTAATTAAAATGATATTTATTAATAAATCCTTATAAATGTTATATTAAAAATAATGTTTTAAACAAAATTAAAAAATTAATTTTAATTATTTCATTCAAGTATTTTGTAATATGTATTTAATTATAACTTATAATGTATAATATTTTGTGATTAAATTTTTAATACAATTTTCAAAAATAAACTTAAAATTAATTCTAGAAATTTAAAATTGTCTTTTGCAAAGTTAATTTAATTAAATTCAAAACTTTTAACAACCATTTTTAATAAAAAATTATAGCATATCTATAATATTTTAATAATTATATTACATTCGGTTTTACAAATAAACAATTTATCACTATTTTAATATCTACAATATAAGCACATAATATTTTAATTTACAAATAAAATACAATAAATTCATATAATGTACATGTTGGTTGTTTTATATATTACTATGTAGTACATAAAATGTACCTGATATCCATAATCCGGTATCTTTGTCATTATGTTATTAATTATCATAATCTGTTTCACTTGTTTTACAAAAATATTCAATATTATTGCAAAATTATTTTAAAATGATAAATATTCATTTATCACTTTCTATAAATTCTCCCATTGTAAAGGATTATAATAAAATAAAAATTACAAAATAACTATAAATCAAATAATATTAGAATCTATTTAATATAAATTGTAGTTCACATTGAAAGTACAAATAAAGTATTTTATATAAACTAAACCTGTTTAAAATAATCAATTAACCATTTGTGATTCATTAAATACACGTAATACTTACTTATATAACTTAATACTATCTAAATTAATGATTTAACACAACTGTTATTATTATATATAAAGATCGAAAAGACAAGAATTGCACCCAAATTTAGACACTATTGAATAACAGAGGCTAAATATGATCATGGTTACACAATTGCACAAACAAATTGATTTATTAAATTAATTATTTATTTTAATTCAAATACTTTTAAAAATTATATCAAATTAAATATTATTTTCAAGATTATTTAAATTAAATCATTATTTAAATTACTTTTAAAATTTTATTAAAAAACAATAGTCATCAAAATATAAATTTTATTATTATATTAAAAACTATTTAGAGTTTACATTTTAAACTAATAATTACAAATTATAAAAAGATTAATATTACCAAGAATAAAATCAGATTGTGTTTTCTGTGACCAGAATTTAATTTAGTCGCAAGTTTTATAAATTTTAGGGCAGATAAAATAATTTAGTGCAAGTTAGCCAGACTGATAAACAGAAACGACCGAATTTTGTAATCACGCGTATAGTTTAGCATTGAAAAGTGGTGTTTTACATCACCCAAATCACCAAATGGTGAATAGTCATCAAAATCTTATGCTATAAACACTCGTTAAACAAAATTGACAATATCATGGTGGTTTCTGCATATCAGCTCGAGATAATTTAACTAAATAATTTGATTCGGTCTAAACTACTTGTATATAGGCATTAAATTCAGTTCTGGTAATAGTTCTAGCAAGTCCTTTGCAAGCAAGGCAAATTAGACTATTCGGAGCTCTGGCTTTAGAATTATTTTATTATAGATTAATAAATGTAAAATGCATATATCTTATGTTACTTTGCGTAGGGATGTAACATAGGATGTTAATCCTATTAGTATAGTTAATTTAATTTTATTAATAAGATAAGTCTTTTATTTACCCATTACAAATTAATTTAAAAAAATATGGAAAATGAATTTTAGTTAACTTATAATATTTTAAAATTGTAATTAAGTACACAACATATTTTATGCTCTAAATTCACCAATATTATAATTATAAAATAAAAGTTATAGTATCAAGTTAATTTAAGTTGTTTCTTAAGTTACACATTGTGTTAAAGTATTGTTTTATTTATTTTTATATTCAATTCTATTGTCGTCATAACGAACTAAATTTTATTATGCTATTAATTATCACAATATATTTTGCAAAAATATTTAATATAAAAATAAGTTTATAAAAATTTCCATAGAATTTTACAATTAAAACATTATAGAGTTATAAAAAATAAATAATAAATACCTATAAATCAATTAATATAAGTAGCTATTTTAATAAAAATTGTTATGCATTAAACATATAAATATATAAATTTAACCTGTTCAAAATAAAATAATTAATTAAATAAATGTTCTGAGTAGTTTATAATTTATTGAATATACGTAAATACAATATCATAAGACAATATTATTTAAATTAATGATTTAACAAATGTTTTGCACAACTTTTATGGTATATAAAGAGCGGTTAGAAAACACAGAATTTAAGTTAACTTTTGATTTGAAATCATTTTCACTCAAAAAACTATACCAAAGACAAAATGCTGAAAATAGTAGCCTTACTATTAGTCTCGACTTATGTCTCCGCCATTCCCTTTGGCTGTAAGTATTAAATCAAATGCTAATTACACAACAATTATAACCAATACTTAACAATTGCTATAATCACCACTAGTTTCGTGTGGAACGAGCGGCGGCGCTAGCGGTGGAGCCAACGGTAATGTCAACGTTGACGCCAGCGTTGGTCTACCGAAGTTAGGTTTGGGCGGTCTGTTTGATCTGGTTCATAAAGTTGGTGGAGGACTTGAGAGCACCATCGGCGGTGCCATTAAACAGGGCACCGGTGCGGTGGGTGGCATTACCACCGGCATCAGCGGTGCCATTGGCCAGAGTCACGATGCTCTTGGTCATATTACCGATCAATTCG